CCCCTTCCTCTTAACCCCTTACCTGCCCACCCACCCTCTCCCACTGGGCTTTGTATCTTCCTTGAACATGAATGTAACTAAGTCGTGTGAATGTCAGAAGCAGCTAGTACCTGAACTGGAGCTACTGGTGGTTTTCTGCTTGGTGTTCTGACGGGACTCCTTCATCCAGGGGAAGATCTGCTTGCTTCGCGCGGAGGAGGTCGGGGAGCCGTTCTTTGTGCCGGGCTGGTTAGACCCGTTGCTGGCGTTTTGGCTGATAGCACCGGGGGACTGGGAGGGGGGGGGGCGGACCTGACACCGGCACCTGCGGCTGATTGCTTTCGGGGAGAACCTTGGACTGCGTCGCCTGAATGGCCGGGGTCCTGTCGCAGCTCTCCGCCATCTCCCCCGGCTTCTGCAGAGCCACGGAGCCGCCGGGAGACTGCAGGGAGCAGGCGGGTCGATGGTACTCACTTTCCACATGAGAGGCCCGGGGATATTGGATCTGATTGGCATCATAACTGAAGCCATTTGCGCTTTGATATGGGTAGCCACTGTAAATTGCGGAGCTGTCGTAGTAGGTTGCCTTTTGCATCTCGCCGTTTCCCAATATTTATTTCAGAAACTGACAGGGTCTTGACACCCTTGTAGAATAACATTGGCACCCCGTGGTCACGTGACGCCTCTCCGCCAATGGCCTCCTTGGGTGAACCTAGGGTTACAAGAAGCACTGTGAGGAGGAGAAATGGTGGCGATCCATCTTACTTTTCAATACAGACCTGACACAGGAGACTATGGAGGCAAGATAAGGCCAACAATTCTGTAGACTATTACCGTTTACCTTATGGCTTACACGGGGCACAAAGTCACGCGCTAACCTTGTATTACCATCTGTGCCACATAACATTTAGAAGAAATGTTCTCAAAGGCATTCAAATAGTTTAGAAACCTAACAAGAAAATGGGTGACATTTTAAATCTGTGCTGAGGAATTAATTTAGTTACAGTGCAGCTCACGGTGGGAATGCGGTGGATAAAAAGCCTGCTGTGGAAATGGCTTGTTAGCGGGTTACCACACAGGAAAATAATATTTCTGTTACAATATTATTCTACCAACAGGGCTGTCAACAGTATATCCAATTTCTCCTGCAGCAGGTGAAAAACCCTCTGTGTTTCCCACACAGCTTTAACCCTTTTGGGGTGTTGTTGTTTGGTCTTTTGACCATTGGAAAACACGCTCATTGTTAGAGTAAAACTTGGAGGCATGATTCTAGAGCAAAACTCGGAAAAACACATTCATTCCCCTCTTCTTCTTCTTCTTTTTTTTCTTTCTTTTTTTGTTTGCATGTGGAAAGATAAATGAAAAGGCCCCGGAGGAAACCTGAAAAACCGGGCGGGTGTCCGTGCAGCCCCATGACCACGGCGTGAACTTTTTCCTCGCAGGCCCATAATAATGGCTGCTGCCGGTGGTGCTGTCGGCGCGAGCTGCCCGTCGCCGTGATATATGGGGGTCAGTTGACCGGGATTGCTTGGAATGAGCTGGCCGGTTAGCGGCCGAGTCTGCACGAGGGCAGGCAGAATTCATGCAGGTAAACGGCAAGGATAACTTAGAATAGGGAGATAAAAAAACCCAACGAATACACACCCAAAGCTCCACAATCCCCGTAATAATAATAATAATAATAATAATAATAATAATAATAATAATAATA